GAGCAATTTAGCGTGACGATCTTTTAAATCTGATCTGTTTAACTCTTACGCTTTAGGCATTGGAGTTTCATTTGCATCACTTGATATTCTCTCTTATTAATTATTAGGAAAAATGAACAACTTTGTAAGGGGGTGGAAAATTGTGCTAATCAGCAATTGATAAGAACAGTAAATTTTGTAACTGAAAGAAGCTTCTCGTTAGCAATTGCAAATTTTTGAGATCTTCTGTTTACAAAATTGAGTTGAATATTTCAAACAGTGCTAGTGAGACTCTGAATGTCAGACCTTGCCAGAATCGGGTATTTCAAGCCAAAGTAGTGAGGCGGAAACTGTTTCTTCTTCTGGAATCGTGCATTTTTTTTTTTTCGTACAAGGAAGTATTGGTTGCGAGTGGTTAAATAATTAGTGCAGAATAAAAGTACTGGAAACTAGAAACAAGTTTATGACTTTTTTAAGATCAAGTGTAGTTCTTGGCTGCCTTTTTGTTCTCTAGCGTCAGTGCCTCTCTTCCGGTAGCGCAGGACGTACGCTATTAATTATAACTTTAAGGGATGATGTGGATTTCCAATAAAAAAATTAACTTTTTTGAAAACTGCTCATTGTTAATAGTACAGTCTTTGTGTTGCAACGATTGATTGGTTTCGTTTAGTTACAAACATATTTGTGTTCCTGCAGGTTAGAAAGAGGAAACTTGCTCTACTTACCGGACTAACCGGTAAATATGGTTATAAAGGTTATGAATTAAGCGGCCAAGCAGGTTCTCTCTTCGTGTTAGCTGTTGGGAACGAACATATTAATAACAAAGCTTAAGCTAGTGACTCTTTGCAGACATTAAAAACAAAAAAGCTTTGTAGCTATAGATAACAGTTGGCAGCGCATCTCTGAGCTACCGAAGGAAAAGCGCAGTTAAAAAGGAGAAACCTGACAACAAAGAAACAGTGATGGGTTATGCTTGGTCTCGGAGAAGTTACTGTTGATAGTCCTAGGAAAAAAAAAGCACTTAACTTCTGATGAAGACATCATAAGGTTGTGTATCTTCTGAGTCATCTAACCAGTAACGTTGCGTCAGAAATGGAAGCTTGATGGGAATGCCCCCGGAACCTGTCTGGGTCTCGCACAAAGAACTTCGATGGTTCTTAAAAAGTTTTATATTTTTGCAAACAAAAAACACTATATTCAGTACTGGGGACAGGAAATAACAGTAAAAAGCGTATTAGATGTAATCTTTACAATAAGAAACAACAGAAGGTAACATGCAAATTAGCGACGTGTCGAAATGTACCCAACTTTAGCGTTTCCGGCAGTAGCGAATCGTAGAAAGGTTTTGTAGTAAAAATATTGATATGGGTGACCACTCCATTTTCTGAGTAGCTGAGAGAAAGTTTGTCTGAGAAGTAGTTTTGGAGCACATCTTATGTACCGTAATACGACAGGATATTCTAAGCCATTCTGCGGCACTTTTTGTAGTCAATATTGAGCTATAAGAGACTCAGTCGTTCGTTTTTGAGGAGAATTAAAGGCACAAGTGACTGGGAAACTGCTTTTAAAGCTAATGTTTTAAGTAAAGAGCTGTGTGTAGAATACCTTGCGACAACTTCTGACTGTAGGCTGGATTGAAGAGTTAAACTTAGTGATTCTGCAGAGCAGAAGATGCAGCATACAGTTTTCAATAGTCTGAAAAGAATCGGCTGATGAAAGTGGTGAGAGGTATGAATTGGACTGTCCAAATATTCTCTTTCAGTGCAGTAGATGGTTGGGGTTTAGTTCCGGAAACTAGTATTAAAAAGCCTAGAGGAAGAATATGGACAGGAGGAGCATTCTTTAATCTTTCGTTAACTTCGGTGGCTCTTGAATAGTTATTTGCTGTAACGATATTTATAATCTTAGGTACTTACCTGGAAATTATTTTTCCTTGTTACACGACTAAAATGAGTTTTAATAAAACCATTTGTTGGAGAATCAAGAAATTGTGGCGAAAAAATGTTTGAAAAACAAATTTGAGTGGTTTCTTCTAAACTTTTGGAATTTATCATCTGCAGAAGGAAATAAGGTAATAAGTCCTGAGGCTTTATCAATTGATATGTTAAGTAAAAGTTATTGGTGTTGAGCTGTTGTGCTGTTGGACGGTACGATTTGATAATTCGGGTCTGATATATATTCTAAGAAAATGAACTGTAGGTTTTATGAGTCTGCTAAGGTATTTGGACACTGTGTTCTACTTCCCACATCTTAATTCTTTTCGTGTTAATAGCAGTTGTGAGTTTTTATTGTTTTAGAATAAAAGCTTCAATTTTAAAACAATGAAAGTTTGGCCTGTTTAAGGGTCCTATAGTTTGACTGGCGGTTACTACAACTTTTTTTCGGAAACAGGCCTTGAGCTGTCAATATATTGTTTAGAATAAAAAGTATACGTAATTTATTTGCTAGCAGAGGGTATCTTATTAATTCAAAGGTGATCGGGGTTCTATTTACAACAGAGTCGTTTCTCAGAAGCAGGCTAAGATGTGCTACTGTTCATACGGAAGACGCAAGTCGATTGACTAAGTTAGTATTTAGAGCAATGGGTGTGGAAGAAACAAGGACATAACTACAAATATTTGCCAAGAAGACACGATGGCATCAAAAAGTATGACTTCGTTGCAGAGAATGCTGGGCCGGACAACTTCCCTGAGCGGGTCGGTTCATTGTTTATAACTTCCCAAACACGCCCTGTGTTCTTTAGTGCGGATGAACATTATTCAGTTTTGCTAGCTAAAATTAGAACTTGTAATAATATTTTTGAATTCAATGTGTTTGTTAAGATTTTAAGAGTAGTTTTTTTCAGCTTGATGGTAATCCGCCAAAGTTATGGTTGGCATGGCTATATCGCGATCTAAGGGGTGAACCAAAGTGGGTAGGAGAAAAAGTCAGGAATCTGTTTGGTGAAGACTTTAAGGTATTGATAAAGCAGCAGTTATGGCCATCTTTTAGCTAATTCTTATGAAGCTTGATGTGCTGTAAACCGTGGCTGCTATGCTGTCAAGACATAGCGACTTCAGCTGTTTGTAATGATCCAGTTTTTCATCAAGGCTGAAAAAAACTTTTTTAGGTTGGAAAAATGGAGGTTTTTAAAAACACTGCATCCGTTAATCATGAACTTTGGCACATTAAGCATTTAATAGATCTGAAGCCATTAACGTTTCCAAATGGGGAGCCAACGATGGAGGACGTAAAATCGCTGGAGGTTTGTTATTCGTTTGGATTGATTTTAAGAATCCATCCCTATTTCTACTAATTAATCTACATTTATATCTGATAGAGATAATTTTAAATACGTTCAAATTTTCCTCTTAATCCTTATTTTTATTTATGTTGTTCTTTCGCTTGCTGTCAGCGGATAGAAATTTTGCTAAGTCACTTAAAAACACTTAGTCTGATCAAATAAGTCTGCTGCGATTTACGTTAAATGTTTGAATGGACACATATAAACATGTAGTGTAGGGTTCTAGCCGCACACAAGTAACCTGCGATTTTCGACGCTCTCTGTGTACCCACTGTACATACTATTGAGAGTTCTGATTGCTCTATCGTTTAATTTAGGTATTCCATGATGGCCGTTGTGTTGTCGATAAAGAAATTTCCTGCGAGGATTCTCAAATTACAGTCATTGACCGTCGTAAACAAGTAACATTTTTGATAAGAAAAAATAACTGTATCCAGACTTATTGAAGCCGTTTGAGTCATTTCCTAAAAAAGTATTGAAAGGGAAAAATTGTTTTAGTGGACTCCTGCCGAGCTTTCTGGTCGACTTAGCAGCAGGTACGCAGTCAATAAAGATGTTTTCGAAGATACAGTTTACAATCCTGCTAACATGAGCATAATTGACTGATAAGTTTGTGATATAATGATGAACCTTAAGAAATGTAGAGCAGTTTAGGGTTTTGAAACTTTCCTTGTTATGACGCTCATATGGTTACCGTTATGGTGCCAGCTGGAGTACAACAATTTTGTTTTGTGTTATTACTGAGGTAGCTTTTGTAGAATTCAGTAAGTTATATACACTGCACGAGAATTCCAAAAATTAAGCTTTATTATCGCCATTACGGGTTTGCTCCCGTCAACTTTTCTAAAAAAACTTTTCTGAGCTGGTTCAGTGATCCAGATCCTTTTTAATGAACAGTCGCGTTGAGAAAATGAGCAGAAAGGTAACTTCATCTCAAGAAGTTTCCTTAAAAAATAGTGAAAGGAAAAGTGTTACTTTTTGTATGACTTGGTCCAATATTTCTCGACTAATGAGAAGTAAACCAAATTTTATTCAGTATTAAGACATGTGACTCTGTGTTGTTTACTAAAACTGAACACACGGTCATTCCAAAGTTAGTAACTGAATGGCTGGTTAACAGTAAGACAGAAGAAATTACACTTAACTAACAAAGAAAAAACGTGAAGTGAGGTCATGCATACTTCATGTGTAGGACTTTTAAAGAAGCAACTGAGGCGTGCTTAAGCTGTAACCAGAGAAAGATACCAACTGCTTACAGCTGTTAAACAAATCTTAGCCACTTGCAAATGGGAAAACTTTTCTCGTCCAACTAATCGCCATGACTTCAAAGTTACAAATCTTGAGTGTGTCGCACTACTATTTCAAAATAGAGTAGATATACCCTTACAAGATGCGCCAAGACCTACTGAAACACAAGTCGCTCATTAAAGTCCAGTTTGCAACGAGGAAGAGAATCAATGAAAAAAAAGTATAACAGCCAAAAAAAGGATGCTCATCAACAACGAATACGGCCGTAGAATAAAAAAATCATTATTTGAAATTTTCTGGCTATTCTTCTGGACATAAAAGGAAATGCTGCCTGCAGCTTCAAAACTCTGAACTTATCCTGACAGCTGCCAAACAGCATAAATCTAATGCGCGTAATTTCTTGTCCCAGTTTAAAACACGAAACGCAGTGTTCATTTATAGAACGCCACTGTCCTAAGTCCAGAAGCTTAAGTACTTGAATCATTGGCGGCCATTGTTACTTCTTCATCAAGCATTGCAATTCTTTAAGGGATGAAAACAATGCTGGCACTGGCTAGCCGTCTGCCCAGATACGAGAATGAGTTATCACTGTGATCATTCAGTGGAACTCAAACCCATAGCATTCTGCGTTTTGAACTAGACACTCATTTCTACTCACAATCCTAAAACTAATGGCTCTTTCAGCACAACAGACCCCGGGAATAAAAGCATTGGAAAACTGATCCTCTCACGACTCTAGAGCACCAAAATTTTAACGCTGTTTCTTCCAATAACTATTTCTCCTGAATTTATTAACTACTTTTCAACCTTTTTTACAGTACTGGGCAACATTCTCCAACTAATGATTTTCCAAACCACTTTTTCTCACTAAATTTGATCTTCACAATAAACCTATTACCTTTATCAAACGCTAAGTTGTTAATTTTCACCTTTGCACAATGAACTGCGAGTGCAATATCCGTTCGCCTGAGTAGCAACTGTTCAGTTGATCAACACTTTAAAAAAATGAACTCAGAATTTATAAACAACAAATCAAATACTGACAATAAAAAATTATCATTGTTACTTCTTTAAAAAATATACTACTGATCAGTAACTGACCAACACGAGTATAAACGACTTAAATTAATGGGAATTAAATTCGCAATAGCATCAAACTGAAACACAGAGTTCTGTTTAACAATAAAAACAATGTCCGGCGGGTTTTGCCCAAACCACAGTCGGATGATATACAAAACGTAGTTTCTAAACGGCTACAGCTTTCAATGATTTTTAAACTCAAATATAATTTTTAATGAGACGAGCAAATGCTGATGGAAATGTTGCTCGTCCACAGAATATTTAAGCGGGGCAATTGTTTTTAGGAGTTTCTAAAACACCTTTCACTTTTACTGTGGTCGATGTATTTTCTTTTAGCTTTAACGCCGCACCCACTCACTGCATCCTCTGTAAAACCTAGATTAGTTCTTGGCGGGGAAGTCTAAAACGTTGGGAAGAAAACAACACGGTTCAAGCAACAAAGTAATTTTAATGAAAATTATAACAAAAAAAATCAAAAACAATACCCTAACAATAAACGTTATTAATTACTACCAGAATAAATATGTCTGATTGGTTAACGAAATTCTCGAAAGTCAATAGGGTACAAGCGGGAACAGTGCCGAATTACCAAGTTTTCAAAAGAAGACAAGACCATAAGTGCAGTAATCAATCAGAGAAAGCGCTTGATTCACAAAAATCAGCGAACACTCCGCTCCAAAAAGCCGTTCTAAACGAGTGTATTGCCCTTAAAACTGTACTTATATCTAGCGGTATTTCCATCGTAACCTTACCTTTATAACTTTCTTTACCCACATTTTTAACTGCAAAAGATGAAAACTCCAACAGGTCTATAAGAACACGGGTTCAACACAAATGGAAATGCTTCCCGCAAAAAAAAAAAAAAAAAAAACTGTAAATTTGTTTTGGCAGCCTTTTAACATCACCTACAGACCTCGAGGGAAATTTAGCAAATCCTAATAAATAATAAAAACACATAAATATTTTAAAATCTTTAAAGAATCAATAACTTTACAATTCATTTGAGAAAAAACTTTTTCCTTTTCCCCCTTTTCCTTTACAGCAGATTCTCGCCAAATCTACACAAACCATTAACTCAGTCCACCAATCGTTTACACTATATGCGTATTATACAGAGAGGTGCACTGCTGCTGTCAATATACCTCCATTTGATACTTATATTATATTTATATAGTGAGATGCACCTTTAAAAAAATCTGTACCTCAGGCATTGGCCGATTGCCAATCTATAGGACATTCGATAAAGCACTCGACGTCGGCTCTGTCTAACAGACTACGTTTCTATTTGTCTCTGTGTTTGTGTGTGTGTGTTTGTGTGTGTGTGTGTGTGTG